GCTTTCAGAGCAATCCTGATTAGTTCTATTTAGATATCCTATTCAGTTCTATTCAGTGGCATACTCCTAAAAAAGTGGGTTTAGGATTATATTGTTTACAGTTATGATTGCACTAGGAAAAAGGCCCATTGTGGAAATAAATGCAACGATCTCTAGAAAGAGGCTCTGGGCAGGTGCCCTGGCCTTGGACACTCAGTGTCAATTTGCTGTGGCGACCTCAGCAGGGTATAATGACACTGAGTCCACCATCTTCTCCAGAGGAACTGATCTCTGCTACCTAAAGAACAGTTGTAATTTTGAGTGATTTCCAGCCCTCACCTGGAGATTGGCAACAATGGTTCCCCAGAAGGGAATGGGTGGTTTGGAGGGTGGATTTTATGGCTTTGTACCTGTCTGAGGTCCCACGCCTCCTGAAACCTCACCCTCTCCAGGCTCCATCCCTCACATCTCCAGGAATTTTCCACCTGGAGTTGGCAACCCTATCTCCTTCCCAGCCAATCATCAACCTACCTTTATTTCCCCCTCACTCTTCAGCTTTCCACACCCCCACACACACCTGCAGCCTCTCCTGTGCTCTAAAGTCCAGACTGCTACATCACATTGGCTGTCATATGGGGGCCACCTCAGCAGCATATAAGGATACAGAGCCCACCATTTTCTCCAGGGGGACTGATCTCTGCCATCTGGAAAGCAGTTGTAATTCTGAATGATCTCCAGCCCTTACCTGGAGATTGGACACATTTTACCTCAGAACAGCAAACTGTTTAGAATGTTAGAGGCAAAAGCCAATCAAGTCGCATATGTAAACGACCTCTGTGTTCCGAGGCAAAGGCCAATGAGGCTGCATATACAAATAACCTCTGTGTTCTGACTGGCTGGGGGGGGACAGCAAACTGTTTAGAATGTTGGAGGCAAGTCTCAAGCAATGCAGCCAGTGGATAGGGACAGATTCTGAGTGACACACCAGGGCGCCAACCAATTCCGGAGCGTGTGGAATGTTCTAGAGAAGTGCCACCACCATTTGGCTTTTATATATAAGGAAGATTGTTACTGCTAACTTTAGGCATTTCATAGAAGTGGTGACAAGAAGCTTGAGTCAAATTTCTCCTTTCCACATTTCTGTGTAATAGATTGTTCACTTCTGCAATAAACTGTTACAGGAAGCAACATATTGACATGAGCAATGCAATGAATAGGAAATCTGATTTTTAATTAAAAATTTGATTAGTTTTGCATGCATAAATTAACATCTGAAGTGGAGAACACAGACGATTGTATTGGTTACTTTGGTTAGGAAAAAACGCATACTGTGATTTTTCTAATCTAATTCCCTCTTGAAGCTGCCCATGCTTGTAGCAGCCACCACCTCCTATGGCAGTGAATTCCATGTGTTAATCACTCTTTGGGTGAAGAAGTACTTCCTTTTCTCCGTTCTAACCCGATTGCTCAGCAATTTCATGGAGTGGCCACGAGTGCTTGTATTGTGAGACAGGGAGAAAAGGACTTCGTTCTCGACCTGCTCCACCCCATGCATAATCTTGTAAACCTCGATCATGTCACCCCCCAAGTAGTCGTCGTTTCTCCAAGCTAAAGAGACCCAAGTGTTTTAACCTTTCTTCATAGGGAAAGTGTTCCAACCTTTTATCATTCTAGTTGCCCTTTTCTGCACTTTTTCCAATGCTATACTCTCCTTTCTGAGGCGTGGTGGTCAGAATTGCACACAGGGTTCCAGTTCCTTCTCAGGATGTACCAGGACACTTTTTGGAAGACCTTCCCAAATGAGCCCTACTTGAGTTGCCACCTGCCTGGTCCGACCAATGAAACCGGTTTCTGCCAGCCAGTTCTGGGCTCCTCCCATCACCTCCCAGCTTCCGCTCCTGAGCCACCAGGTTCTGCCCTGGATCCATCTGCCTGCCTGAACCCCCTCCCCCCCTGCCACAAGAGCATCACTGAAGCTGGCCACTCCCCCCTGCCCCGGTCCTACCTCTCAAGACAAGCCCAAGGCAGAGCCTGAGCCATGGGCCTCAGAGGTGTCACATGCCAGGTGAGGATCCTGGCTGGGGGCCTCCACAAAATGCTTCCCAAAAAGAACAAAAAGGTGGGGTAGCCATGTTCGTCTGAAGCCGCAGAACAAAGTTGAGTCCAGTGGCACCTTTAAGACCAACAAAAGTGTTGTGGCTGGTCGGAGGCTTCCTGCCCGCTCTGGCTGGTCTGAGTGAACCTTTCCCTTTTACCCCTGATTCAGTTGTGTCTCTCTCCCC